CCGCTCTATCCGAAGATGAATGCAAAAATGTCCTCTGGTGAGGATTAAAAAAAAATTAAAAATTAAAAAATAAATAAATAAAAAGAAGTAAATAAATAAAAAAGGCTGGAAACACATCAGAATGTCATTTAGCAATGGTTATCTCTGCAGGAAGATTATGGGTAATTTTAATTTTTTCATTTTTTTCTCTATTTTCTAAGTTTTCCTTAATGAAAATGTTATTGTTATAACCAGGAAAGAGAGGGTATTTTTTTTTAAAAGCTGAGTTTCACTCAGAAAGGAGAATAATTCATGAAATAACACCATTAGCCCCGGCCAGTGTGGCTCAGTGGATTGAGCGTGGGGACGGAGATCCCAGTGTGATTCCAGGTTAGAGCACATGCTGGGGTTGCTGGCTCAATCCCCAGTAGGGGGCGTGCAGGAGGCAGCCTATCGTGTCTCTCACATCATTGTTTCTGTCTCTCTCTCCCTTCCTCTCTTTCTAAAAAATCAATAAAAAATTTTTCAAAATTGCTCTGGCTGGTTTTTCTCAGTGGTTAGAGCATTAACCCATGGACCCGAGTCCTGGGTTCAGTTCCCGCTAAGGGCACCTGCCTCGGCTGCAGTTTGTCCCTGGCCCCAGTGTGTGGGTGGCAACCACTTGATGTGTCTCTCTCACATTGATGTTTCTCTCTTTCCCTCCCATTTTCCCTCCCGCTCTGTCTCTAGGTAAATGCAAAAATATCCTTGGGTGAGGATAAAAAATATATATATATTTTTTAAATTAAAAAGGATCTTTGGTTTTCTATTGTACTAATTTATCATAATTTCTCGAACCAGTTTACTGTTGCTGTGCATTATTTAGGAAGCTTCCAGTTTCTGTGTTGTTTCTACAGCCCTCTTCAGTTCTTCAGGGCAGGTTCACAGAGGTGAGCTCGGGGGGAGAGCTCTGAGCAGCTGTAGCCTCGGCCTCTCAGGGGGTCCCCCGCTCCCTCATGGGGGCTGCAGCTCAGCCTTCCTAGCCCTGAGCTCTCCCCTTTCAGGCCTCGCTCTTCCCTTTACCTTGAGGGTCACTGCCAGCAAGGCAGAGGGGCCTCAGGAGCCCTGTGTCTGGGGCCCTGGCAGGTACCTGAGCCATCCTTGGTGGCTTCCTAGGCCTACAAATGGGGCACAGGTGGGGCCTACTCTCCTGAGGCCTCTTCCTGTCCCCACCCTCTAGCACTTTGGCCTGAGGCAGTGTCCCACCCAGGCCACTCCTGGGTGTGATGATGACTAACCCACTAGAGACTGATTTAGTTTTGGTTTTATCATACTTGACAGCAGAGATAAGTCCCATCCCCACCCCTGGGTTGCGCGGCAGGGTGGGTAGGAGGCTGGTCACCACTGTTGCAGAAGAGATGGTGCAGATGTGTCTGAGATGCCGGAGGCCTCCTCGAGCATTTGCTCTTGTCCCTGTTCCTGGCCAAGCCTGGCATCTGCCCACAGCAGGGTTTGTTGCCCTTGGAGCTTCTAGAATGGGTGGGGAACATCCGGGCCGTGGACCGTATAAGGCCCATGAAATTAATACCAGCTAACATCACATGCCTTACCAAATTAGCCTGACAAATATAGCAGCCTAATTTTTAGGTTGATTTTTTTTTTCTTCATTATTGATTTTAGAGAGTCAGGAAGGGAAAGGGAGAGATAGAAACATCAATGAGAGAGCACATCGATTGGCCGCCTCCTGCATGCCCCTGACTGGGGATCGGGCCCACAACCTGGGCATGTGCCCTGACCAGGAATTGAACCGGCAACCTCCTGGTACATGGGTTGATGCTCAACCCCTGAGCCACACTGGCCAGGCTAGGTTGATATTTTTTTTTTTTTTAATTCTCACAGGAGGACATTTTTGCATTTATCTTCAGATAGAGCGGGAGGGAGAGAGGGGGGAAGAGAGAGAGAGAGAGAGAGAGAGAAACATCTATGTGAGAGGGACACATCGAGTGGCCGCCACCCGCACAACCCAACCAGGGCTGGGGACAAACTGCAACTGAGGAACGTGCCCTTAGTGGGAATTGAACCTGGCATTCTCTGGTCCACAGGCCGACGCGCCACCGCTGAGCCAAACAGGCCAGGGTGGTTGATAATTTTTTTATGTTTTTATTGATTTGTTTTAGAGAGAGAGGAAGGGATAGAGAGAGAGAAACATCAATCAGCTGCCCCCTGCACACCCCACACTGAGTATCAAGCCTGTAACCTGGGCGTGTGCCCTGACTGGGAATCGAACTGGTACCTCTCAGTCCATGGGGTGATGCTCAACCACTGAGCCACACCAGCCAGGCTAAGTTGATAATTTTGAATGGCCCGGGAATGATAGAAATATCCAAATGGCCCTTGGGAGATAAAAGGTTCCCCACCCCTGCCCAGAGGGACAGCTTTTCCCATGGGAGTGGCAAAAGCTCCCAGTGTTCTGGGACTTTGGGTGAGTTACTCAACAGCCTTGGCTTCTTCCACTAAAATGGGGGCAGTGGTAATACCCTGTGGGTTCAGTCATGTTTCCCACATGTGTGCAGTGAGTTTCCACAGCTGCCGGTGCCTGGGATCTGGGGACACCAGAGAGTGGGGCCCTGCCCTGTGGTGGTCAGTGACCGGGACAGACAAGTCAGCAGGGTGACCCAGGCTGTGCTGACGGGAGGTGGACAGGGAAGGCTCTGAGTGTCCCATAGGGAGGGACCTCTCATCAGAGAGCCTTGTCTCCCTCTCCTAACTCCAGGAATGCCACTCCGCCCCTTCCCTCCCTCACAGGTGCCCTGTCTGAGCCCGGATCCGAGGGTGCGGTGGGCCATCCCATGCAGCCCCAGCCCCCTGCGGTTCTGCAGTTCGACACCCCCCCCCCCCCCCCCCCCCCCCCGCTCACTGCTCTAGAACCCTGCAACGGGTCGGGAGCGCTCCTCGTGGCGGGCACAGCGGACGTGGTGGGCATGAGACAGCTGAGGTTTTTCTGTTTTGTTTTCTTTTTTACAAAAGCACTTGTGAGCATTTGGTGAACTTCTCTCTGTGTGGCTTCAAGCCACCAGGACACAGGCCCCCCAATACCTTATCTTCTCAGCTCCTCTGCTGCAGGCCTGGCCTTCCCCACGGCTGTGGGAGCGCTTTCTTCCCAGACGCCTAGCCCATCGCCGTCGGTGGCGGGGCAGTTCACCAAGGGTGACAGTTGGGCAGAGCTCTGGCCCCTCTTTAAGGGCTAGCCCTCAGACCAGCCCTCCCTGAGGAACCCGGGTGCTGCTGTTGAAGCCGATCCTTGGTGCCACCCAGGTGCTTCCTGTGCTGGTCGCTGCGGCCGTGGCTCACGGGCCCCGAAGTGTCCGGGACCTCCTTGGTCTGGATGGCATGTCGGTGGCCAGAAAGCAAGAGGAAGCCGAGGTCTCGATCTCAGACACGCATGTCCTAGTGGGGCTCAGCAGGCAGTGCGCAAGGAAGCCCGTCCACAAAGATGATTCCCCAGGTTCTAAGCACATGAGGCAAATGCACGGGGTGGTGAGGGGCGTCCCCAGACATGGCGGGGAGTGGCTGGCGGGCGCTCCAGGGAAGCCTTACTAGCGAGGGAGCAGTGAAGTGCTGGTTACCGGCAGTAGGGTGGCAGTTTGCAGAGACGTGGGGCCAGGAGGTCCTGAGGGTGGGCTGAGGCTGGCGACTGCTGAGAGTGACGACGAGAGGGAGAAGGACCCACCAGCGGTGCAGGGCAGTAAAGGCAACGGAAGGGGGTTGTAAGTCCCTAGAGGCCAAATGAATAAAACCTTTAAAAATATTTCCTTATAGCAGGACTCAAACGGACCCAGGTACTGCTAGGGAAGGCATCAGTGCCAAATCTGGGCAGACACTCCCTGGAGGAGGAGTTGTCCTTGCCAGGGACCCTGTAGGCACCTGTCCCCTGTTGCTGGGGAAGATGTCCCCGTTGCATTAGAGTCTGTGCGCAGCCCTGTTTGTTTGTTTCTGGAGAAGCAGGGAAGTGAGCAGGTGTGACTCACTCAGGTCTGTTCCTACCATGTTACGCAAATGAGCTGGAAGCCCTTCCTGCGCATGGAGCAGGGACCTAGGGGTGGGGGTGCCATGATGGCAGGAAGCTCAGTACATGCACAGGAAGGCAGCTTCCAGCATGGAGTGCCAGTGCTCTGCAGTGACCACCGGGGCAAAGTAGCGTCTGTCTCCTGCGAGAGGTCACCAACTCCAGGGGGCAGTGCTCATAGACCTGGTTTGAGAAAATGGGGGGTCTGGGCACACTACCCGATCCATGGCTTCTTCGATCCAGAACCACAGTTCTCTCATTCTGGCCATTTTGGTCCCCACCGCGCGCCCCCCCCCCCCCGAATCCTAGTAAGTGTTGTGAAAGTGATACTACAGTGCTCTAAGCTCTGAATGAATTGGCACTGTATCCATAAAACGGTGCGCTGCCTACCATTAGATGATGCCACTGTGCAGCTCTGCTGGCACAGAGCAGTGCTCACAGCCCATGGTTACGTGAACAAAGCTGGCTTCCAGAGCAGTACGGAGAGTGTCTGGTGTTTATGAAGTCCATATGTACATATCTAACACTGTGGAATGAAAAGCAAATGTTAAATGTCTGGGTGGATTAAGAGGATTTCTATTTTGGCTTCTAATATTTTGAGCTTTATCGAGGCGCAGTCGATGTGATGAACCGTGCTTACTGACGGGCACTTCGACAAGCCTTGACAGGTGCACACCTGCAACTCGTCAAGGATATATTGTGGGTTTGGTTTTTGCTTTTCACTTAAAAAATAAAAGGGAAGTGTATCAGCCATTGAACTGGCTGAGCTGGGTGGACCGGAGGGACTGCCCCCTTCCAGAAGGCGAGGCTGTGCACGCAGGCAGGCCTTTCTGGAACCCTGAAAGAGCGGGCCGGAGACCAGAATGGACTCCAGATCCCTTGTCCCTGGGCCCTTCCCTGGGACTCAGTGGGCAGAGAGAAGTAAAAGGGGAGAAGGGAGGGCTGAAGCGTTCAGACTTAACTTGCTTTCCCCCAGGAGGCCTATGCAACCTGTGCTCAGACAGGGCCAACAAGGAGCACATCCTGCAGACAGGGGGTGTCCCGCTCATCATCAACTGCCTGTCCAGTCCCAACGAGGAGACTGTGCTGTCCGCTGTCACCACGATCATGTACCTGTGCTCACCAGGCCCCGGCTCCCACCCCGAGCTGACTGCCATGCCTGTGGTCCAGTGCATGCTGCGCTTCTCCCTCTCGACCAACACAAGGCTCCGGAACCTGGCCCAGATCTTCCTGGAAGACTTCTGTTCCCCGAGCCAGGTGGCCGAAGCCCGCCGCTGGCCGGCTCACTCTGCCCTGGGTATCCCACTGCCAAGGACTGAGGCCCCACAACAGCCCTGATCCAAGGAGACCTCAGGCCACAGTTCTCTTACTTCCAGAGGCGAGACAAATCTTGGTGAGGCTTAGGAAGCAGGAGCGTAGCTCCCACTGAGCACAGCTCCCACTGAGCACACCCTCTCCAAATGGTGCCTTTGAGCTATTTTGAAGGTGAGTTTTCTCAGCTGACAGGTATTGACGCTGTGATGAAAGGCATTAGATGAGTTGAGGAAGACAGACTTTGAGACACATGGAGAAGGAAATTGAAGGTGTTGCCATTTTCACAGGCTGGCACGCTCAACCAAGGGAAGGCAAAGGTCCTGCCTCCTTGTCCACCCCACTGCCAGACTCACCCTCATGTAAGCAGCCTCCTGGTGCCCAGATCCACGGGCTTTTGCAGAAGGTGGTTCTCCTGCCCGCAGCTGGGCCTGGGGCTTAGGAAAACTGCCCGAGCTTGAGGACGTAGGCACAATCCCTCCACAGAAGTGTCTGGAGTAATTTTGAGGAATAGGAATGAGAAGCCTCATTGTTAAAACTATCTCGAGGCTCTGGGAAGCTGGGTATCTGCCCCACACGCTCTGCAGGCTGGGCATTAAGCATGGTGGATGCTGGCCCAGAGAACTCTGTGGCCCAGGACTAACCATGTATCCACACAGGCCTGTCTGCCAGGCACGATGTGAGGGCTTCACAGGTGAAGAAGTGGTCCCTGCTCTTGAGTGACACAGCCCAATGACTATTAATGTGGCCATCGGGCACTAAGACCAAGGCCATACGGGTGATGACATCAGAATACAGGCACGACCCCTTGGAGCTGGCGTCTTTCCCCCACACCCCCATAGTCCTCGCCTGAAAGCCCTCAGGGTTCAGTGAGGGGAGTCCTTGCCCCTGGAAATGTCTCGGGCTCAGGAGGCTGTCAGGGATGCGAGTAAGAGGGGGTGCTCAGGGAGACAGTGGACCAGATACCGATATGAGCTGTGTGGCTCGTAGTCCACGGTGCATGCTGGTCAGCACAGGGGAAGGGGTGTGGGACACCCATGGAAGGCTGGGGTTCAGGAACAATAGGAGTCCTGGTCATCTACTCCCTTACATGACCAAGGAAAGGCAGATGCGAGAGGAATGGCATCCAGGTGGGTGTGGAGGTGGGGCAGGTCCTGGGGCCTCTGGAGATGGAGGAAGGGGAAGTCCTCTTCATCAGCCTCCATTCCAACCGCAGCCCTAGGGCTTCTGCCCCTCTACTTTCCCAAATAAAGGACCTGACAAGAACGGTGAGCCAAAGTTTTATTAAAAGGTTCCTGACTGATTTCCCACTGTGTTTCCATGCCAACCATTTCGGGAGGTGCCAGGTGGCTGGCCTGTGAGAGCAGAGGTGACTGTGTCTCCCTGCTCCCCAGTTCTGGGGTCACTTCCATGATGCCTTGTCACTCAGCTCCACTGGGGCTCCCTGCTGGCCTTCCCTTCCTTCAGCTACCATCCCAGCCGTTTGCTGTCGATGATCTCCCTCCAGTTGTCGCTCCACGAAAGCAGCCGTCTCCTTGGGGGGGGCAGAGCCAGGTGCTGGTTGTGGCAGCAGGTGAACAAGATGTGCTCCCAGCTTGGGGTCTCCTCTTGGCCTGGGACAGGACACAGGAGAAGGGCAGTGAGCGTGCAGTCTGGTTATTTTTGCCCCCTTTCCCCAATCCCAGCAGGCCAGGTGCCTGGAGGTTGCCAAGGAATACAGATCCAACCTAGAATGGTGTCCTTGTCATCAATGAGCAGGTCCCCCGAGACCACCGTCTTGTCCCTTGTCAGGATAATGCGCTCCACAAACTGGGGCCCCAGGTGCTTGTCCACCCAGCGGTACTGTGTAAGGGGCACAGGTCTGTTATTAGGGCCTGATGGGTCCCTGAATTCAGGCCCAGCAGGGAAGTAGATGTGGACGGGGTCTGCTGCCCTTGACAGATACAACTCCCCTCTCCCCCACCCACACTTCCTGTGTTTCTGCTGGTTTCTTTTATCAGGGCTGGGGAAGCTGTTTGTCTAGGAGGTGCTGGGGCAGCCGAACCTTCTCACCCACACAGTGGTCATACTTCATCAGAGGGCTGGTGCAGATGAAGACCTCGGTGCTGCAGGGAAGGGGCTGGTTAGACAGGGTGCTGCCGCCCCTGTGCCACACACCCCTCCCTCCCTTCCTCACTTAGCCATGGCGTTCATCTCCTGCACTGCTTCCAAGGCTCCAGGGATGGGCTCCAAGTCTAGGAAGAAGCCTGGGGCTTCATACACACTGGCGACTTTGTCCTGAAAGATACAGTGTTCCCATCCTGGCTTCTGCCTCAGCAGATCTAGCCCCAGAGAGGATCTCAAACAAAGTAAGGTGTGTGTGGCGCCCCGGGATTGGGGGGGGGGGGAGGTGCTTTCCTTATGCTAGGGTGAACTGTGTATTCTGAAGAGAGTTTTGCTAATTTTAATTAATTCATTCATTAATGTTTAATTGAGAGGGAACATCCATCGCTGCCTCCAGCATGCCCCCACAGGGGATCAGGCCCACAACCTGGGCATGTGCCCTGACCAGGAATCCAACCGGCGACCTCCAGGTGCAGGGATCGAGGCCCAGCCACAGAGCCACACCGGCCGGGGAGCTTTGCTCATTTTAAGCAGGAAGGAGGTGTCTTGGGAAATGGAGCAGGGACCATCCTGCCCCAGGGGAGAGCTTCCCACGTGTAGGTGTCCTATGGGGTCCGGCTACCGGGGACACTGGGGTCAAGGGTCCCCCTCCCGGGTGCCTGTGGGGTTGGGCTCCGCGCTCCCAGGGCGGGGCCGGCGCTGCACCCACCACCCCGCTCCCTACCGCCAGGTCGGGCCGCAGGGCGCGGTACTGCTCCCGGGCGAAGAAGCCGCGGCGCTCCTCCAGCGGCACGTGCGGCTCCGCCGGGAAGCGGCGGCGGAAGCCCCGCAGCAGGCCCGCCTCGAAGTCGGCCAGCACGCCGTCCATGTCCACCAGCACCCGCACGGGCCGCGCGCGCCGCGCCGCCGCCGCCATTGCCATCGCCGGAGCGCCGGGACCCGCGAGGACGGCCGGCGCCGGGGGCGCGCGGGGCGGGCGCGCGGGCGCCGCTTCCGGGCCGCGAGGGGGCGGGGCCGCGCCGGGCGAATCTGCGTGGGCGCCGGCGGCCGCGGGGCTGCGGCCTACGCCGGGACGCGGCGCGAGCGGGGAGCCTGCCGGGTCGCCTGCCGCCGCGGGCGTTCCCAGGGCCCCGGCGGGGCGACCCCCAGATCCTGAGGAGCATCTTCGAACGGCAGCAAGGCTGCTTCCCCGAGGCGGGCCCGCCTTCCTAGAACCCGTGCCTCCGGGGCCTGCGAGGCGGGAGCGCAGGGATGCCCGGGCCGGGCGGAGCGCGGAGGCACAGCCCACGGCCGGGATCCCCCCGGTCGCTGAGGTCAGTGAGGCTGTTCGACTGGTTCGAGCTCCTGCGAAGCGAATTCAGACCCGCGGCTTGAGGCAGGGGAGCCCCGACCTCACACACCCAGTGCCCCTGGGGGAGGCGCCCGTCAAGCTCGGCGTCGGGACTGGCCCTTCTGTGGAGCTGACCGCCCTCCGGCAGTTGTACCGCCCTAGGAAACGGGGGCTCTGCTGCATTTTGTTACCCCCCCCTTTGTAGATGTCCCGTTTCCCGACTACATCCAGATACTGTTCCCCGTCTGAGCACCCCGCTGCTTCCAAACCAGTGCAGCCGACACATTACCAAGGGGTCTGGCCTGGCCGGTGGCGCAGTGGTCGAGAGTCCACCTGCACCAGGAGGTCGCTGCTTCGATTCCCGGTCAGGACACATGCCCAGGTTGTGGGCCAGATCCCCAGGGTGGGTGATGCAGGAGGCGGCCCTTTCATCGATGTTTCTAGCTCTCTCCCTCTCCCTTCCTCGCTCTCTAAAAGCAATAAAGAAAAAACGTCTAGCCCTGGCCGGTTTGGCTCAGCGGTTAGAGCGTCGGCCTGCGGTCCGGAGAGACCCGGGTTCGGTCCCGCTAAGGCACGTGCCTCGGTTGTAGTTTGTCCCCGGCCCTGGTTGGTCGTGGGGGTGGTGGCCACTCGATGTGTCCCTTCACGTCGATGTTTCTCTCTCTCTCTCCCTCCCACTCTATCTGTACAAAAAATGGAAAAATGTCCTCGGGTGAGGATAAAAAATAAATAAATAAAAAATTAAAAGCAATAAAGAAAAAAAGTCTGGCTTCTCGTTCTGAGGTGACCTAACTTAGAAAACGCTTCAAAGGCGTTGCGGGCCAGTGTGGCTGTGGACGGAGCATCCTCAGACACCGAGCGTCCGGGTTCAGTTCCCAGTAGGGGGCGTGCAGGAGGCAGCCAATCGGTGTATCTCGCACATGATGTTTTTCTCTCTCTCTGGAAAAAAAAAAATCAATAAGAACATTTAAAAAAACATAAGAGGTAGAATTTATTGAATAAGCAATAAATATTGAGCACTTGACTGTTTTTCCCTTTCACTAAGCCACTGAAGTCACCCAAACAACTAGGTAAAAAGTCCAAACTGTCCATTCTAGTCATCATTTTAAGATCATTCAACTTTCTAGACCCTAAGCTTTTTTTCTTTATTATTATTTTTAATCCTCACCTGAGGATATTTTTTTTTATCATCAGATAGAGTGGGAGGGAGGGAGAGTGAGAGACAGAAACATCGATGTGTCATTGACTGGTTGCCTCCCGCACACCCCAACCAAGGCTGGGACGCATAGTGGAGGTACATGCCCTTGGCTGGAACCGGACCAGCGACTCATTGACCTGCTGGCCAGCACTCAGCCACTGAGCCAAACCCACCAGGGCTACACCCTAAGTTTATTAACTGTAAAATTTAACACTGATCTTAGCAAACATGTGTACATAGAATTTCCTAAAATTCTTTGTAGTTTTGATAGTAGCAAAATGACAGGCAGAACTGTCCCTCAGAACACCTTCTTGTTTAGTTTTGAGTTTGTTTTTTTTTTGTTTTTTTTTAAGCAGTTCAGGTTTATTTTCTGCTATAACAAACAATTAAGAACCCATTCCAGAACACCTTAATTTTGATTAGGCATTTATCTTCATAGATCTAAAAAAACCTCCAATTTTTTGTTGTTAATTAACCTTACCAAGGATATTTTTCCATTGCTTTTTAGATAGAGTGGAAGGGAGGGGGTGAGAGAGAGAGACATATGATTGGTTGCCTCGTTCATGACCCCAACCAGGGTCAGAATTTGAACCTGCATCCCAGGTACATGCCCTTGACTGGCACTCCTTCAAGGGCATGTACCCTTGAATTGAACCCGAGACACTCTTAACCGCCGAGCCAAACCGGCCAGGATAGGGACATCTCTTTTCTGGGAGCCCCACCATTACTGAGTGAAAGATGCTGGTTCCCTGCCTCTGAAGTCCTAAGAGAAAGTAACTCAGTCTCCTGTGCTTTACATCTTAAGAGAAACTTAACACCCCCACAACCTATAAATAGCCCTATTCTTCCCAAAGAGATGCCCAGTAGTTCAAATGAGTCCGGTTACCATACTCGATCGTGGGAGGGGTTTAGAGGTTACCTAGTTCAAAGGTGTCACTTTTTAAGTTAGGAAATTGAGCCCCATATGAAAAGCCAACAGAATACAGCTGGTTGGTAGCACAGCTGGACCTAAAAGCCAGGTCTTCATGATGCCCAATTTAGACATTTAATATATAGCACGTTGACCTGGAACTTTCTCCCTAGCGCCCGGCTGTCTCCATGTCACTCGAGGAGACTGAGTCCCCCCACCCCTGTCCCTTTCTAATTACGGGGGACCCCTCCTTTCTTTGGAGCTCTCTTCACCCACCCACCACTGAGAAGCACCTTGCAGGTGGGAGAGGACTTAAAATTTTTATTACTTTTTAATCCTCACCGAGGACATTTTTGTCAGGACTTAAAATTTTAAAACTTCCCACCCAGCACACATGGCAGGTGGTAAAACAGTCTAAAATATACTGACTAGTAATCTTTCTGGATATCAATTCGTTTTATAGTCCTGAATTTTATTGTCACTGATATCAGAGTTCACGATCATTCTGGCATTTTGAACTCATGCTATGAATCCAAACCTGCTGTCTTTAAAGAATCTTCTTTAGAGGGACGCTCACTTGCCTCTGGGCCTTCACCAGTCTGTTTGTAACTTGAATGACCCTTCAATCACCCGGCAGCAGATTTGAGAGTAACAAAGAAAAAAAGCAACTAAGCAGGTAGAACACAAACAATCTCAAAAAGATGACACAGGACACAATGTTTCAAAACTTGTACACTTGTTTACTTTAAGAACAGTCCAGGATTGTGAAGTACAAGACATTTGTTCAGGATGAGACCGTTTCGTGGCCAAGCACCAGCGTCATGCACACGGCTTCCAGCTCTAAGCGCGCTGCTCGCGGCTCCGCGCAGGACGGAGACCCGCTCTGCGCGGCCACCACCCTCGCTCCCTCGCCACTCGGAATCGGTCCGTCCGGGCGTACTGGAGCCTCGTCTGCGTGACAACAGGAGCCTTTGCTCCTCGGCCAGTCAAGTTAGTATCTGGCTTATTTCTTAAGGTTCTGAAAGAAAAGGCAGTTTCTTTGCTTTGCAGGCAGCACGGCAGGAGGCGCAGGCCTCTGTTGTTCCATATGGCACAGGAAGATGCTTTGAGCAAAGGGCACTGGCAAGTCAGGGCAACACCAAGGAGTTTCGACATAGACAGCCGTGTTGGGGGCCGTAGGGACGGTGCCTGTGGACTGTTTCCTGGCCCGTCCAATCAAGGCTTGGTAAACCCAAGTAAAGCTGACAAGAAAACCTCAGTAACGAAAGATCCTCTAACACATTTGGAACCGAATTATTTGTCCTTAAAAACACGGTACTAAGTGTCACAAAGCTTTCCCTCCAATCTACTACTAGAAAACACTCATGCCATGGCCTGCAGACCCAGAGGAATCAGGACAGATAGAGAGAACCTGTTCTTCAAAAGGAAAAAAAAAAAAAAGACAGCAGTACATAAAGTGCTTCTTTTTTAATGAAACAAATCCAAAAGATGTACAGTTCAGGCTCAAGTTGTGCAGTTCACAAGCATGGAGAAAACAAACAAACAAATGAAACGCGTTCAGGACAGTCGGAGCTAACCCAGGACAAGGCTGGACTTGCCACCAGGGGGGTTTCTTCGGGATGGCACTGGGGCCGGCGCCACCGGGCTGGGCACAGGGGCAGCGGGCACAGGCTTCTCCTCACTCTGCCCCAGGCTGGCCTGCAAGTCTGTGTCCACGTTTTCTAGGAAACAGAATGAAATTACGGCTCACAACTATTTCCAGGGAAGACAAAGGAATCCTTTTTTTTTTTTTTTTTGAGGAAGGTTCAAAACACACCTAGAGACACAAAGAAGAAAACAACAATCTCCATGTCTCCACCACCCAGAATTATTTGTCCCCATGCCTTTTTCTGTGTATGTTCTTTTCTCAATTACACAAATAATGAAGACATGATTATTTTTATCCTCACCCGAGGACATTTTTTTTCCATTTTTTTATTCAGATAGAGTGGGAGGGAAACATCGACGCGAAAGGGACACATTGAATGGCTGCCACCCACACGACCAACCAGGGTCGGGGACAAACTGCAACGTGCCCTTAGCGGGAACCGAACCCGGGTCTCTCTGGACCGCAGGCCGACGTTCTAACCGCTGAGCCAAACCGGCCAGGGCAAGACATGAATATTTTAAATTAGAACATTACAGATAAGCTGTAGATCCCCGACCCCTAATCCACCTCCATGTCTCCTCGCCCTATTCCCAGAGGGTTTGTTTTATGCATATTTTAAGTGTATTTTATTTCCAACACATAACATATAATACTGTTTTTGTTCTCTCTCATTTTATCCTCACCCCTAGGATATTTTCCCATCGATTTTCAGATAGAGTGGGAGGGAAGAATGGAGGAAGGGAGGGAGAGGGAGAGAGAAACATCAATGTGAGAGAGACACATTGACTGGTTGCCTCCCACATGACTCCAACCAGGGCTGGGATCCAAACGCAATGGAGGTACATGCCCTTGACTGCAACTAACTCTCGACCTTTTGGTCCGAGGGCCGACACTCTAACTGCTGAGCCAAACTGGACAGGGCTGTTTTTGTGCTCTTTAACATAAATGATATCAATTTCCTTTTTCCATTCTTTTGCAAATTTACCCATATTTGTACAGATGGTCATAATTCACCTTACTTAATTAAACTATATATGTTTGTCCAATCTTCTACTGAGAGCAACCAACACCCCCACTGCAAACAAAGCTGTAATGCACTGGAACCGCGCCACGTCCTCAACATGAACAGACACTACTCACGGCCCTCCCACGTGGCTGTGCCACGCTCCACCCCACAGGCCACGTCAGAGCATGCCCCCTTACATCTCTGCATATTCACCACTTGATAAACCACCTCACTTTTATATTTGTCAAACTGATGGGTGAAAAATGTTATTGCATTTCTCTTTTATGTTACAGGGCCATGATTACTGGGTGAGGTTGATTTTAACTATACAGATTGCCAGTTGTGCCATCAACACTTATTAAAGAGCCCACCATTCCCCTATTGACTTGTAATTACACCTCCATTAACCAGGTCATTCCCATCTCTTATTAACTGGGCACTTTGTATTATTATCTAATATCCTAGATATTGCTGGATTAATTCACTGGCTAATTTGTGAAATTCCCAACAAGCACATATTTTTAACCAGGTAGTTTCCAAAACCAGAGAAGTCATTGATTCAAAGTCAAGAGTGATTGCAAAATGCCCAGCCGGTGTGGCTCAGTGGTTGAGCATCGACCCCTGCATCAAGAGGTCGCCAGTTTGATTCCCAGTCAGGGCACATGCCCAGGTTGTGGGCCTAATCCCGAGGGAGGCGATGCAGGGGGCGGCCAAGCAATGTTCTCTCCCATTGATGTTTCTATCTCTCTCTCCCTCTCCCTTCCTCTCTCTCTAGAAAACCAATAAAGAAAAAAAAAATTTTTTTTAAAAAGTGATTACAAAAAAAAACTCAGAATTTTCTGTGAAAGGAAATTTCTACAAAGAGTTTTAATAGTTTTAAGGCACGTTAGATTTATTTTTTTAATGCCAGTCTCATTTCAGTGTTAAGCCATATTCTAACACTTGCCTTAGAATAATCACCCACACAAAAAGGCACCTTTACTTTTTTTTTTATTATTATTCTGTTGTTAATCTCACGCCAGTATTTTTCCTTTCCCATTGATTTTAGATAGAGTGGAAGGGAGGGAGGGAGAGGGAGAGAGAGATCAACGTGAAAAAGACCCCATCAATTGGTTGCCTCCCATATGACCCCGACTGGGGCCGGGGGATCAAACCTGAAACCCAGGCACATGCCCTTTACTGGGAATCGAACCCTTGACCCTTTGGTCCAAGGGCTGACGCTCTAACTGCTGAGCCAAACTGGCCAGGGCAGAGAGGCACCTTTAGTAGAAGACATGGGAGAAAAGCTACCATAAACTTTAAAGACGTTTATTTCTTCCCCTAGTTTGAGAGTGAAACCGAAATACTGGTTATGATATATACTGTAATAATTCCATATGAACTCATACTGGACACCAATGAAAAATTCTAATTTTGAAAAACTGTAGTTTCTCTAAGTTCCTCAAAGACTAAATATTGAAATTAAAAGTCCGTGTTCCTAAAACTTGTACCAAGTTTTGATTTAGCCGACTGAAACCGAGATGTCTCAGGGGGAAGAGGGCTTAGATCAAAACAAAACATCAGCCCTGGCCGGTTTGGCTCAGCAGTTAGAGCGTCCGCCTGCGGTCCGGAGAGGCCCGGGTTTGGTTCCCGCTAAGGGCGCGTACCTCGGTTGCAGTTTGTCCCCGGCCCTGGTAGGTCGTGCAGGTGGCAGCCACTCGATGTGTCCCTTTCACGTCAATGTTTCTCTCTCTCTGTTCCTCTCTCTCCCTCCCACTCTACCTGAACAAAAAATGGAAAAATGTCCTTGGGTGAGGATAAAAAAAAACACAAAAACACAAATGTCAGAAATAAGCTACTGCTGCTTTCATCACTGCAGTCTATGAATTTTGGGGACATTCTATAGAATTAGCATAACACTACACACAAAGTGTTCCACAGTACTGAGCTACAAGTAAAAATCCAATATGATGCTTTCCAGAATGACAGCCCTCACGGTTAGGAACTGAGGCGTGGAGAGAGGGTCACTCCTGTTTCCTGTTGCTACAATTTTGTTCCACAAGAAACAGGATCGCATGCATCCCCATCAAGTACCCAAGTCCTACAGTAAGTGTCCCTTATGTAACCCAGGAAAATATGCGCAATGTACTACAAATACAAAAAAAAACAACCCCAAACCCCATACTTTAAAACAATCTAAGCCCCGTCAGTGTGGCTCAGTGGTTGAGCATCGACCCCTGCACCAAGAGGTCGCCAGTTCGATTCCCTGTCAGGGCACATGCCCAGATTGTGGGCCCGACCCCAGTGGGGGGCATGCAGGCCAATGGATGTTCTCTCTCATCGATGTTTCTATCTCTCCCTCTCCCTTCCTCCCTCTCTAAAATCAATAAAGAAAAATAAAATACAATAAATGAAACAATCCAAAGGAGATGAACTCAGGCTTAGCCAATGTCATCAGGGCGAGCTGTGTCATTTCTGCTGCTGGGACATGGCTTCCTCACCGCTGTCCAGAATCTACCCGACCTCTCTGGTCTGTCTGACCCACCATTACCAAGTGCTTCTAAATGACATACAATTACCCTGCAGTGCTACCCTGACGGCTGCTTTCCATGAAGTGCTTTTTAGATGAATCAGGCTGATGTCCACCAATCTCCCACCTGTCTTTTATTATTAATGGAGCTGTTCTGCTGTCTTTTACAATGAGGTAACAACTTACCAAGAAAGAAAAAACAAACCAAAAAAAAGCACATTTGGAGACTGAACAACAGCAAGCCTGAATTTCAGTGCTCCTTGGTCAGAAGTAAATACAGAAAAGATGGAGGCTTGTTACTCCATCTCAAGTCTGCAATGAGCTAAGGAACTGAGACTAAGAGTTTAGAAATTTCTATAGCAACCCGACAGGGAAAGCTTTGTCTGTTGAATCTAATAATAATTTTTAAAGTAGGGCTTTAAACAAAAATACTTCTACAATATCCATCTTATATACTCCTGACTACTGACTTGTCTTTATGCTTTGGCACATCAGTAAAGTAACTGAACAGACACCTGTCAGAGCAGACAGAAATGATTCATTATAAGGATCAGCGTTAGAACCGGAAGAGAATGGAGCAGACCACGTGAATTGCCCGAAAGCAGGGAAAGACCTCGGCATAAATTTCCTGGACCTTCTCCCTCTCTCCTAGGTTTCCAAAGTCCTCCCTGTGGCCACTCCTGTGTTTGATCACCCAAAAGACAAAGGCGATTTTCATTATAGCCAAACAAAATCTGTTTTATTTATCACATTTTTGTTACTATTATTCATATAGAGAGGGAGGGAGAGGAAGAGAGAGAGAGAGAGAAACATTGATGTGAAAGGGACACATCAAGTGGCTGCCACCCACAGGACCCAACCAGGGCGGGGGACAAACTGCAACCGAGGTATGTGCCCTCAGCAGGAACCGAACCCGGGCCTCTCTGGACCACAGGCCAACGCTCTAACCACTAAGCCAAACCGGCCAGGGCAAAATCTGTTTTATTTAAACTGAGCAGACTAGCTTGGCTTTGAAGTAAACTTGGCAGCAGAATTGGGGTTGGCCTCTACTCCACCAGGAGTATCTTAAATTACTAGGGCCCTTGTCACATTATGACAAACTAAAAGTAGCAGCAGTCAGAAACACAAAATAATCAGGTGGCAAAACTGATGGATGAACACTTTAAAACAAAAAGAGGAAGGGCTTGTCAATGTGCTATTTATCTTTTTCTTTTTTTTCCCTTTATATATTGAGCGACAGAGAAACATCGATGAGAGAGAACATCGATTGGCCGCCTCCTGCATGCCCCTCACTGGGGATTTAGCCCACAGCCTGGGCATGTGCCCGGACCAGGAATCGAACTGGCGACCTCTTGCTGCATGAGTCGACGCTCAACCGCTGAGCCACACCGGCCGGGCTAAATGTGCTATTTATCCGAAGAATCTATAACAAATTGGGCTGAGGGTGGTAGTAATTATTTAGCAGGACAAATGACAGTTTTTCATAACTTCATCAGGTTCTCACTTCTCCAAGTTCCCCAAATTCCTAATTATAGTCATTGGCCAAAATTAGTGAATACAGGTTGTGGCTAAATGAGATCTAACAGGGGAAGTATTTCAGGGTATGAAAAGCAGCGGAGTCGAAAAGCCTAAAAGATCTTTTCCCTCTAAAGCAGTCTTTCCGAAATTGGACATAAACAAAAATCTACCTTCAGCCAGTGAAAAGGTAATTTGTCCAATAAGCACCAGCCCAGGTTAAGCTCACAGAGGTTCAGAAGAATCTCCTCCCTCACATCCCCATGGAGAAACCCTGTTTGGGAGGACAGAGAGGAATGTGGTTCTTAAACATCTGATTCCCTGGAAGACTGCACCCCAAATATAATGGTAGGAAAAGGCCACGAGGAAGCCACCTCTGGACCGAAGATGGCTGCATTCCATTGAGTCCCATCCACCCTTTTTTGGTTAATCCTCACCTGAGGCTATTTTTTCCATTGATTTTTAGAGAGTGTGGGAGGGAGAGAGGGAGGGGGGGAGAGAGAGAGAGAGAAACATTGATGTGAGAAAGACACATTGATTGGCTGCCTCTTGCATGTGCCCCGAATGGGGCTGGAGATCGAACTTGCAAGCCAGGTACGTGCCCTTGACCGGGAATCGAACCTGAGACCCTTTGGTTCGAGGGCCGATGCTCTAACCACTGGGCTACACTGGCCAGGGCTCCACCAACTCCATTTTAACCCACTGCTACTACCTGTGTGTCAACTTTGCATTACACTCATCAGCGATTCTCTGGCATTTGTTAAGGAAATGCCAATAAATACTTCAAAGATCTAAAATAATTAAATGATGATAGCTCATTTCCATACAGATGCTAACTGAAAATTTACATCTGCCCCCTAAATCATCATTTACAAAATCACAGGGTTGTCCTAGCCAGTTTGGCTCAGCAGTTAGAGTGTCAGCCCACCGACCAAAGAGTCACGGGTTCGATTCAAGTCAAGGGCACGTACCTCAGTTGTGATTCATTCCTGGTCGGGGTCATGCGGGAGGCAACCAGTAGATGTGTCCCTCTCGTGTCAATGTTTCTCTTTCTCTCCCTCCCTGTCACTCTATCTGAAGATAAGTGGAAAAGTATCTTCGGGTGAGGATTGAAAAAAAAGAATTAAAAAAAAAAAAAATCAAACAAACTTTATAAGTTCAATGCTGTGGGCCAAGCTTAAACTGCCAGAGCCACTTACTAAAAAGCTCTCATTAAGTGTAACAAATACCAGCTTGAAGAATGTACATGCATTTGTCAAGGATTTTGGTGGGGTTTTTCCACTTTCTCATACATTTCTAGCATCGTTCTCACTACTGGCTGATACCAAATGTGGCCATGTTTACCAACTTTTGTTTCATTTTTCTTTCCTCTCCACCCAGAGTATGCTGACACTTGGGAAAAGCTACGCTACAGTCCCCAGTCTCTTTCCCCAAGAAATGATTTGAGTCAAAATTCTAATCTATGCTTTTTTAAAAATCCTCACCCAAGGATATGACTTCATAGATTTTAGAGAGGGGGATGGAAAGGGGGGGGGGGGAGAGAGAGAGAAACATTGATGTGAAAGAGACACATTGAGTGGCTGCCATCCACACGACCGGGGACAAACTGCAACCGCCAAGTATATGCCCTTAGCGGGAACCAAACCCGGGTCTCTCTGGACTGCAGGCCGACGCTCTAACCGCTGAGCCAAACCGGCCAGGACAATTTCATAGATTTTAGAGAGAGGGAGACATCCATTGGTCACCACCGTCATGTACCCCAACTGGGGATCGAACCAGAAACCTAGGCATTATGTGTGCCCTTCCTGGGAATCAAACTTGCAGCCTTTTGGTGTACAGGATGACACTCCAACCAACTGAGCAACCCAGCCGGGGCTCCCATCTCTTCTAACACCATTTACAGAACCAGAAATTTAGGCTTCAAAAGTACTCACCATGAATGTCACCTTCTCCCTGGAAAAGAAAAAGACATCAAAAATTTACTCCAGGTTTCAACTTTGCAACATACAAATACAGTAGCCACAGTTCAGAGAGACTACTCTCTTGAAACCAAGTGTTTTCGTTTTGATGCAGTCAAGGTCAGCGTCAGGCTGCATTATAATTATAATAAATAACCTTTATTCAACTGGGACAATGCTGTACAAAATTGCCACTGGACAAATTGCCCCAATGTCAGTAACAGTCAAAATTAAAAAAACAAAAAACCTTAACATCTAATCAATATCACCCTAAAAGATTAAATTTAAAAACTTTTAAAAAAATCTTAACATCTACGCTGATGACCTATATGAATCAGTATTTCAGAGGCTCTTTTATCAGAAACGGGTGAATCTATCTTTCCCTTCTCCCTCCTTACCTAGGGGCTGAAGAGCCTCTAACAGTTCCAAAGCCCCTTCCACATGTCTCCCACGCTTAGATGGCTGGTGCCTCACGTGTTCTGAGATCCCGACTCAGGAGGACATCCTGTCAGGCTTTCCAGACACACAGCTAGGGGCTTGGGGCGGGGCTGCAGTCTCCTGGGGTTCATCTCAGAACAATGGGACAACACTTGCCAACAACGTAAAGGGTCCTTGAACTCAGAAATACCACCATGTAAGAGATACACAGGAAGTGAGTATGACTCAGAAGTTCTAAAAATCAGTACTGAAGGGTAGAGACCAATCCTAACGGTGGAAGAGACATCAGAACAGAGCAAGATCACGTTACTCCCTTTCTGATTTCCCTCTTGAGTTACCAATATGGCCAGATCCCTTTCCTAGCAACCGCTTCGGAAAACTCGAGGGCCAGAACTGAAGCTCGTAGCACAACACGGAGGAATCCGATTTCTAAACTGAAGTAAGCACAGAGCCTGTCTTCTTCCCCAGGTTGTCACACTGACCTTCAGGTCTAAGAAGTCCCCAGAGTTGGCTTCAGAAGAGTTCCTTCTCTGAGGTCCAGACGACTCAGATTCTTCTCTACCACCACTAGACTTGGCACCTGAATCAAATAGACTTTCTTAAGGAATATAATAGAAGATCTAAAGCAAACACTTGTTAAATGAATGATATTATATGTTAGTCTCATATTACAAAATAAGCAAGCAGTGTTGGGGAGGTTAAGTGATGTCTTAAAACCTTGACAGAGGGACTAAATAACCCAATCTGATATCACTCCTAACCTTTTTTTTTCTTTATTGATTTTAGAGAGATGCCTCCCTCTGGGGATCTGGCCCACAACCTGGGCATGTGTCTCGACCGGGAATTGAACCGGAAACCTGGTTCATGGGTCGATGCTCAGTCACTGAGCCACACCACTCCTAATCTTGATCCATCCCATAAACTCTCAGTATTTCCTGAGACTTAGTCCCAGTCTTTCCTCCAATAAGAAGCTTGAACCGGCCCAGCCAGTGTGGCTCAGTGGACTGAGCGATGTCCCGTGGACTAAGAGGTCCGGGTTCGATTCCTGATCAGGGCACATACCAGGTTGCAGGCTCGATCCCCAGTAGGGGGCATGCAGGAGGCAGCTGATCGATGTTTCTCACATCAAGGTTTCTCTCTCCCTTCCTCTCTCTTTAAAAAATCAATAAAAACATATTAAAAAAAAAAAAAAGAAGCTCGAACTATTGTCTATTCCACCATGAAAAAGCTCCACTGTGCCCTCCAGCCCTAACCAGCTGTGGGTGGGCCCGCCCCTTGACCTGCGACCACAGACATAAGCTGTACCTGCCGACTTGGCCCACGAGGGGGGATTTTCCTCAGGTGTCCCAAAGATGCTAGAGGCCATTTTGTTCTTCCTCACGGGCTGTTCTGCTGGTTCATCAAAGCCTAATGAGAAATTGGATCCGCCACCTGGAGGCCGCAAAACCCTGGGAATAATAGCAAAACATGTCTTCACAAAAATGTTGTCAAATACCTTTGTCTTCAGTTCCCCGGCCCATTCATTCCCCTTCCCTCCCACAAAAGAGAGCAGCTACTGGGGAAGAGGAACGGATTCCATGGGGTATAAATTCAATGTTCAATCCACTGGCCGGCGCTTTACAGTATTTGTAGTAAGCTTGTCCGTCACCCAAGGCAGCTGAAACAGCCTGAAAGTTGTCACCAATAACAGGCTGGCTGGTGTCCCTTTTAGGAAATGGCAAAAGACCTAAGAGACCTCACCTTCTGGGCCTCGCTGGATATACAGGATGGGGCAAAAGTAGGTTTACAGTTGTGAGCATGTGAAACAATGTATTCTCCTATTGTTATTTATTAATTATTGTATTATTTTCCATATGAACAACCGTAAACCTACTTTTACCCCGTCCAGTATGTGCAAAGAAGTTAGGAAGCACATCTTGTTATTTATATTTTCCATTTTTCTTTTCAATAAAATAAAAAGTGGAAGAATATACATATTAAAAGGTAACTATACATATTAAAAGTTAATTAGCCCTGCCCTGGCTGGTTTGGCTCAGCGATTTGAACATCGGCTCGCAGACTAAAGAGTCTCGGGTTCGATTCCAGTCAAGTGCACGTGCCTCGGTTGCGGTTCAGTCCTTGGCCCTGGTTGTGGTCGTGTGGGAGGCAACCGATTAAAGTGTCTCTCTCCCATCGATGTTTCTCTCTTCCTCCCTTCCACTCTATCTAAAAATCAATGGAAAAATATCTTCTGGTGAGGATTAACAAAGAAAGAAAAAAAAAGTTAACTAGACCAATTTAGAAGCCCAAGCAATGATGATAAAGTGTCTCTCCTACCTCAACATGATGGACAAGCCATGTTTACATACTTGTAGCTCACTACTGTCACTGTAAACTCCAGTGACGAGCCACAGGGAGAAAGTCCACGTGAGAAGGAAGTGTAGGATGTGCGGCTGTTCTATCCGCATGCGCCTCGGACCGCCACCTACAGCTTTTTGTTCAACAAGGAAGATAGTATGTTCACCTTTCTAAATCTCCCTCCACAGGCTGACCAATTTGTCCTCACCTTGGAAAACTCAACTGAACGTATCCTCTCACCACTCAAAGCACAGAAAATGAAGATGGTATTATGGGAAGATTTTCTAACTACTCATTCAGTTCTTTTACTGGGGATAGAACAGTCTGGTTCCTATTTCTTCTTAAGTCGTTTGATAAAAAATAATTTTCTAGGAACATGTCCATTTCATCCAAGTTTCTAAATAAATATAGTTGTCATTTGTAAATTCAGCTCCTTATCTTAAAAAATAAAGGAAAAATTAAACACTTAATGGATAAATTCTCTTCTAAGTACTCCACTAAAGACATTCCCAAGTTTATTTTATTTTTTTTAACTATTGTTCCATTCTAATTGTTTTCTTTTTTGGGGGGGGCAAAAAGTTGTATTGAAAATAATTTTTCGCCTGGCTGGTGTGGCTCAGTGGTTGAGCATCAGCCCATGCACCGAAGGTTGCCGGTTCAATTCTTGGTCAGGGCACATGCCCAGGTTGTGGGTTCGATCCCCAGTGGGGGGCATGCAGGAGGTGGCCAATCCATGTTCTTTCTCATCGATGTTTCTATGTCTCTCTCCCTTTCCCTACCTCTTTCTCTAAAAATCAATTTAAAAAAACTTTTAAATATAATAAATGCCATTGCAAAAATTATAACTGCAGAAGTAAACAAAGCAAAACCTTCCCTCTTTCCCACACTATTGCTCAGCAGTAACCACTTTGAAGAGTTTGGTGGGAATTCTTCTATTTATTCATCAATTCATTTACATATGTGAAATTTAGATACTTAGCTTGTAAATTAACTACCTGAATCATTTTCTACTTGTTTCTTTTCTTTTTTTAGTATGTTTTTATACATCTTTTAGAGAGAGAGGAAGGGGGAGAGAGAGAGAAACATCAATGTGAGAGAGAAACATCGATCGGCTGCTTCCTGCACGCCCCCTATTAGGAATGGAACCCGCAACCCGGGCATGTGCCCCGACCGGGAATCGAACTGGGACCTCAGTCCATGGGACGATGCCCAATCCACTGAGCCACACCAGCCGGGCTCTACTTGTTTCTTCAAATGCAAATGTCTCGGGCAACTTTCTGTGTCAGTACAAACAGATGTACTTTATTTCTTTTCTGTTTTTTTTTTTTTCATCCTAACCCGAGGACATTTTTTGTTCAGATAGAGTGGGAAGAAGAGAGAGAGAGAAACATCGACGTGAAAGGGACACATCGAGTGGCTGCCACCCGCATGACCCAACCAGGGCCGGGGACAAACTGCAACTGAGGTACATGCCCTTAGCAGGAACCGAACCCGGGTCTCTCTGGACTGCAGGCCGACGCTCTAACTGCTGAGCCAAACCGGCCAGGGCTAGTTTGATTTTTTTAGCTTTTAATTATAACATAGACAACAGTTTTATGACATGAATCCTTTGAAATGTGATGACATGTGCCTTACAGTCAATTCTGTAAGTCTATGTGTGTGGAAAGAATGTGGATTTGCCAAGGTTCTCTCTGTCCACTAGATCAAGCTTGTTGATGGAGTTGTTCAAATCTGCTAGGTAAATGTATTAGCTCTCACTGAGAGAATCTGTTAACAACTTCTACTACAATGGGGGTTTCTCAGTTTTTCCTCAGAATTCTGTCAAGACAAAGAGTCCTCTCTCAAAAAGACAGCCACTAGAGTCTTCATGCATTCATTTATTCATTCATTCATTCATTCATTCATTCATTCATTCACTCACATTTCCTGGTTCTGTATTGTGCAGTATCCCAGGTTATTTATTTATTTATTATTTACTTATTTTTGGTATGTTCCCCTAGCGGGAACCGAACCTGGGACTCTCTGGTCCGCAGGCCAACGCTCTAACCGCTGAGCCAAACCGGCCAGGGCTGCCACTGGAGTCTTAGATCAGTGGGGGAAACTGCAATGGGTTCACTGGCTAGTCATTTTGATCAGACAAACAAAATTTATTATCCCTAATTTAGTTCATTTACCAAAAAGTTCCAGGTGGGTCAAATGTTTCAATTTAAAGACTAAAACAGCCCTGGCCAGCTTGGCTCAGCGGTTAGAGCATAGGTCCTCGGACCCTTGGATCCAAGGGTCTTGAGTTTGATTCCTGGTCAGGGGCACGTACCTGGGTTGCAGGTTGGATCCCTGGCACCAGGGCCATTCGGGAGGCTACCAATCTATGTGTCTCTGTCACATCGATATTTCATGAGGATTAACAACAACAACAAAAAAAAGGGCTAAAACAAAAATACTGAAAGGAAATATGTACAAATGTGTCCTAGTCTTGAAGAAAAAGGTTTGCTTTCTAAACACAAAATGAAAGGCATAAATCATAAAATGGATTAAACGTGGCAAAAATACACAAAATATCTGACAAAGGTTAATATCACTACTATAAGGAATGCTCTTAAAAATAACTTTAAAAATAATAAAAGAAAATGGACAAAAGGTACTGACGGCAATTAAAACATATGGATAGCCTCTAAATATTAAAAATTCAACCTCACTACCAAATAAATGAAATTTAAAACAAGATGATAGATTTTTTGCTCATTAGACTGGTACAGATTTTTAAAAAGTCAATTCTCTCAGCATTAATTGAAGTGTGGAGAGTACATTTGTGCAAACTTTCTAAAGAACGTTTTGATAATATGTAGCAAAGTTTCCTTGCATGTTAAATGAATCAGCATTTCTACTTCCAGAAATTATCCTAACATCTATGTACAAGGATACTCCTATAAATAGGTTAATCTGTAAAAAGTTGGAAATACTCTAGTTATCCAATAGGAGGAGGTTAGGTATCAAAGTTTGTCCATACAATAGAAAGCTACATACATTAGGATGAGATTTACCTTTATTAGTAAATGCAAAAAGTTACCCAAAACCCAGTCAATAAAAAAGGTTAGAGAATAAATATAAGCCCAATTACGTGTTAATAAAATGATGTGTATAGAGATAGACACTTATCTAGCTGTGTGCCCTTAGGTAAACTGCTTAACCTCTCTATGCTTCAGTTTCTCTTCTATAAAAAGAAGATAACAGTAGCTACCTCATAAGACTATTATAAGGATATCATATATACTGTGCTTAGAATAGTAACCAGAACATGGCAATCACGCGTCCCAGCTATAATAATCATCATAACTATACATAAATGTCTGAAAGTATGTACACCATAAAGGTATCAGGAGACTTTGGTGAATTTCTATGTCTTTCTTATAGTTCATAATTTTCTGTATTGCTATTAATATAAAATTCTTTTAAAAAATTTATTTTCTGTATTGATTTTAGAGAGAGGAAGGGAGAGGGAGAGAGAGAAACATCGATGAGAGAGAACATCAATTGGCCGCCTCCCGCACACCCCGCACTGGGGGTTTGGCCCACAATCTGGGCATGTGTCCTAGCTGGGAACCAAACTGGTGACCTCTTGGTGCACCGGTTGATGTTCAACCACTGAGCCACACCGGTCTTTAAATTCTTTTAAAGACCACTTCTGGGTTCCAGAATTCCCTGACTTTTCTTTGACAATACATACTCCTTTTCCCACCGGCCATTATAGGTGATTATTTTGTGGGCACCGGTGTCCACTTGGATCTCTAGACAGAAATCCCAGCTCCTCTGCTCCTTTGGGTGCAGGCTACACCCTGGCCTCAGCTCCTTAACACTACCGCTCCCAGACTGGCACACTGCCCCTTCCTGCCCAGGGGTATGACCTCCTGCCCTATCCAGTGTCCTTTCCTACCAGGCTCCCCTGTGCTGTCTTAGCCCTGCTTGCTACCCACAAGCCAGATACAAGGTCTGGTTAAGCCTAGGCAGAGCTGAAGGAAACCAGACAAACTTTATCAACTACCAACCGCTCTCATTGGCACCGTCTCCACCAATCCAGTCAGGCCACTTTCTTCACTGTCCCACAAGCAGTTCT